ACACTAGGGGGCGGATATAGCAAATGTTATCCGACTCTAATGAAATTCGGTTTGTAACTTGGATTAAGGTACGAAGACATACATACATACATATATCTGAAATATGGTGAAAATCGGTCAACTGCCACGCTCACCACCTATCCGAATTTTTTTGTTCTAATGTGGCAAGGACTAGTAACGATCCTCCGAAATAGCAAATTTTTGGTGATAGATCTATTTTTGCATGAAAACCCAGAGATTTAAAAAAAATTATGGATTGGCAAACAGCCACGCCTTCCCTCCCCACACTAGTGGGCAGGAATGAGGAATAAATACTACCAGATTTTATTGAAATGGATTTGAACCTTTGCTGTTCAGTGGATTCATACAGACTTCCACGGCATACGCACAACATGTAAATAAAGGTAAGAATGTAAACATGCATTTGTTTATGTATAGTATGTATGTATGTATGTATGCCGACATAGGTACTGTCGGCTTTCAGAATTTTTTGGCTGTCACTTGTTAATTTAGACAAAATATAAAAATAAAACTTAATAAGATCGCAAGTTATGTATACACATTAGGGTGGCCCAAAAGGAGTGAAGACGGAATTGTAATGCCCCCGCCCAGGATTGTTCTATATCGAAAAAAATTTACCTCTATTTTTTATTTTGCAATCAAAAAATATTTAGCGGTCGCTCAAAGTTTTCCATGTATTTTTATGTGGGAAAATAACAACTCTTCGTTGAAAAATGGTAGAATTCTTGAAAATCAATATTTTTCGATCGGTCTGGATCTGGTTCTCTTCAGGAGACTTTCAATAATAATACCCAATTGTTTAGTGAACCATTCCTTAATACTAGCGATTTTTTATCGCCCCCTCCTTTCCATTTTTCGGGGCTTTTGTGGGTTTTTGACGGACCTATAAATTATAGCTGCAAAGAAAAAATGGTTAAATAAACAATTGGGTATTATTATTGGGAATCTCCTGGGGATAAGTAGAATTCTATACCAATTCTACGAGAAGTTGTTTTTTCCCCATATAAAAAACATGGAAAATTTTGGGCGCTTTGAGTGGCCTCCAAATATGTTTTGATTTCAAAATAAAAAAATAGGGGTATATTTCTTCAGTATAGAACAATCCTATAGGGTGAGAGCATAAAAAATCCGACTTTACTTACCCCCCCCCACATGCATTTTTGGACCACCCTAATGTGCATACATAAGTGTGTACGTTTGTAAGAACTCCAGCTAAGAATATCTACAACTTGTACATTCATTTACAACAAAATACACTTGATGTAACAACCAACAAAAAAAAAGCCTGCATGCAGCCAATTGTGTTCGTAAGCGCACTTGCACTTGAACTTGCAACGCTACGCTACGCAGATAATTAACAGCATTAACAACATTTGCAGACGCATAACACCAATAACAGAACCGAGGCAATTATTTAAAACAATTTTCCGAGGCATGGGTAAGATGTATTTAGGTAAGCATACATAAGCATGTAGTTGCATATATGTACATATGTATGTACATACATACTTACATACGTATGAGTGGAAAGGTACGGAAATATCAGGTAACAGGTTTGCACGTAAGCTCATTATGAATCCAAATAGTCGCGCGTGCAGCAAATGTTCACAGCAGCGTGCAGCAATAACAACCGCAGCCGAACGAACATTCACTTTTTTCAATATCGCTTCTACAAAATTTACTAAATTGTCTTATCGCTTTTGCCACATGCCGANTTGGCCAAAGTAGGCGAGTTGGTTCACAGCGTGCCCACAGCTGTGTCTCATCAGAGTTCTACCATCGTTCACAATCGCGCCAATGTTGTTACACCAATCGTAGCGCCGGCAGTAAAGACACACGTCACACCGGTTATCAGTTCGTATCTATCCCCAGTGGTGCGTTCTTATCCAGACATCTATCCATACAACTACTACTACAACTTCTATCCATATAATACCTACAAAAGCATCTACTAAACTTTTGATGGTTGTGGATAAAATGGACAAAAGTGACTTACTCGAAATAATGTTAACACGAAAAAAAAAAAAAAATTGTAAACAAGTAATTTTTAAGCAAAAACCAAACCGACTTCAATTATCATATATGTACATTTCTTCATGATCCAATAACAGAATCTAAACCAAATTGGAAGGGGACCACCAGCTCTTGGGTACCACATTTCCTTCAAAAAAAAAAAGAATTATAGAAATCAGTTAACGTGGTCCAAAGTTATGCGATAACATACATTTTTTTGAAGTCGGTTAAAAACAACAGAAAAAATACATACAAAATAAAAGTTTATATATGTAAATAAAATATATGATCACGTCTTCTTTAAAATTTTTAGAAAAGTTTCTTCAGAGCCCAGTAACTGCAAATCGGTCAAAATGGCAAGAAATATTTAGGCATCACAAGAACAAGGGGAGTTTGTTTCATCTCCAAAGACACAACTGAAAGAGTTTTTAAGCATTTCTCGAAAAAAGTCAATCAGGTATGTATAAATATGTACTACATATAAGCTGAGATCAACTTGCCAGCCTTGCCCAACTGGTTTATATAGGTCGACCATCGACAGGCAATAGCAACCTCCGAGTGTATTTCTGCCATGAAAAATAGCTCTTTATAAAAATACAATCGCCGTTTGGAGTCGGCGCAAAACTGTAGGTCTCTCACTTTTGTGTAACAACATCAACGCGCACGCCACAAATCGGAGGGGAGTCTCGGCCCAACACTAACATACATATGTATGTGTAAGCACCAATCTATTATTATTAATATTATATATTTGCGTACCGTTCTTCATCACCTTAGAACTCGTGTATCTCGAAGGCCTTTTTCTCCTTCAAATTTGGCGTTGTAACAGTCTAGTCCTATCATATAGCTCGCCAGACATCTATCTTTCGTTCCAACTGACTTCATTTGGAAACGCAACCAATTTTTTCTCTTCGCAAAGGAGGCTTTCCTCTTCCTTTGCTACTACCCGGGGTATTCAATTTGCAGTGCTGGCGCGTACGACATGACCAGCCAAGCATACAATGCCAATATGCTTCGATAGTTTATATATTTCATTGTTCCATCGTCCGCGGTATTTGTCGCCGTCATAAGGCCCGGAAATCTTTTCCTTGAATCCGTCAAAGGAGGCACCCTGAAATTGTGCATATGGAAACTGTGCATACGAAATAATGCATATGAAAAAAACCGAAATAATGCATATATGCACAGTTTCGGTTGAAAACCGAAATAATGCATATGACAAAAACCGAAATAGTGCATACATGAAAACGAACTTCTTTCTGAGTAGGCGGCCTTCGGCCGCGCTTAGGGATTATAACCCTTACTAAGT